ACCGATCATTCATTCATCAAAATTTGAATCCAAAGTAGCCGAGGCCAGAAACTTCCCAAAGATCCCCTAGATTGTTTTTGCAAAACATTGATGAAGCACGACCTAGCGCGTATCTTTTCTATACTACTGATACAATATGTCATTCGGTGATTTGAAGACACTAGAAGTCGTTAGGAGAGTACATGCTAACCATGTAACTTCTCGATTTACGGTACATCTGTGAATCTGCACAAAAAGCAATCTCAAAAAGGAATTAACTATACCTATTTGATACATCCGCTCCAACAATATCTTCACGATTCAATATAGAAGGTCTTTTTATGGAGCCTGAACCACTGGATGAAGATGAGTTTTCAACGATAACTGAACGTGACGCCCGAGAACGTGGCACTGGAACTGGCTCAGCTCCAACCGCTTTGTTGTAAGACAATGGCCGACTACTGGAGCTATCCGATCCATTCCGAAACGTCTAAAAGACAGTTCTCAGCAAGCTTTGGTGAAAGAACACAATTATTTCATACGGGTGGAGGTGGTCGTTGTGGAGTAGTGAGAGAGGCAGCTGTTATGTCTCCTTGACTTCGTGACATACTCCCAGGAAGCGACTCATCCTGATACTCGTCAAATGAGTCGTCCGATTCCGCTGTAGCCGTCGGTGACATCCCAAAAGACTCACTGAGGTCTGCTGAAGTCAGGGTCTGACCTAAAAAAATTTCGATACAATGCTCACAATATACTAGAAATATAAAATGTCAGAGAGCCAACAACCTACTCTGTGTAAGGCTAGGTTCAATTCTAGACGGTGTCGAAGTGTGCGCGGATTGTTCCATATTGTTGCAGTCGTCACTGAGGTCAATCAAAGAACCTGTGGATGTTACGAATTTGAAAAGAGGATGTAAAGAAATTTTAAATATCCTTAGGCTGCTTATTAACACTGATCAAAACAATCATTTTGACTGATACCATGATGTCGATCGGTCTCAGCAATAACAGTAAAAATTCCAAATTGCATGTGGTGGTATGCATTTTCAAATTACAAAGATTTCATGACATTGCCCAAATACTGGTAAGATTCAATTATTGGCAAAAAAATCAATTGAGCGAAAGAAAAATATGCTTCTTTCCTAAAGACAGAGTGCCTCAGAAGAATGTGACAGCACTTCCTTGTTTATAACCGCTTAAATCCGACCTTCTTTGAAACTTGATAGGGTCCACCATAAATGCTTATTTGAACTTAGATTTCCACTCTATCGAAGCTCATTTATTTTGCGGCGAGGATAGGATTAGTGGGTAAATTTGTGGCTGAATCAAGCGATGACCTTAATTAGTTACTCTAATATTGGTACAAGAGTTTATGGCAGGTTTAGGATGTCACACTTTGACACAGCGCACTGAATAACCCAATTAGAAAATTTCGTCTTTAGAACAGATTGTAGGCTAATGCTATAAAGTCCCTCGTCAGCATTAGGATAACTTGCAACTTTGTGCTAATTTTACCGTATAGAAGGAGGCACAAGATTCGTTTTTATGCAAGTCGTCGGAACTAGCTTTTCAAGCAGAATCATCAAAGCCCACAAAAAACTTAATAAAAGGTCATTAACACCAAACAATAAACACATTTTTTAAAACATTTTCAGGACATGTCATATAGGCAAGTAGGTAAAATAAAAAGTAATCTTTTCAAAAAACAAAGAGCCGCTAAAGCATATAAATCGCCAACCTGTCTTCGGAGTGACATATGGAGGTGGAGGAGCACGTTCTTTGGGTCTACCACGGGGTGATGTGCCCCATGACGAGATGCTACCGAACTCCAGCCTGCATTGCATGATTTAATAATATGTATGTAAAAAGGATGTACTGTTGATGTCAGAAAAAGCTTTAACCATGACTGAGTTAGACTAATGACTAACAAGAAGTACGACTAACAGTCTCACCTATCCTTAGACTGTCCCGGCTTTGGAGGAGAGTTTGTATCCACGGTAAGGCGTCCTGAAGTATGTTGACCTCCGCTATTTCCATTGTTGCTTACGACAGGACAACCAAACAATCTCGACGCATTTTTCAATAACGTTTCAACAATCTGGAACGCAAAGTTGAAAAGTTGAAACGAAAGAGCAAACGCCTATTCACCTTGGAGTTATGAACGGATGAGAAAAGCTATATTCAGAACACATTGCTTACCTTGGTACCCACAGCATTATTGCCATCTATATCACCTCCCAACAGGTTTGGGCCGAATACAATAGCGAGATTACCGCAGTTCATACTGAAATTTCTTTTCACAGGAACAGTGCATATTACGAAAAATTTTGAGTGCATATCACAATGCAGATGATAAGAG